AGAGGCTCCGCCGAACCCCTGAGACCGACTCACCGAACCCCTGGGGTTCGATTGAACCCAGGTTAAGAACCACTGGGTTAGACTTTGAATTCAATTCCCAGAAGGGTTGATTGAAATAAAAGCAAGTTTTTGAAAATACTGTCATTTGTAATTTATTTTTAAGAAAGTAAGAAAAAACATTAAAATAAGAAATTGGATTTGCATCTTTTATTTTTAGTCATATTCCTTGGCACCATTCTATTAAGATGGCCCAGTTTGATGTCTCCGTCACTCTTATAAACTTTTTTATTCATGATAAAGGATCCATTCCTTTCTAAAACTTTTATTCATCTCGATTTCCATAAAGTGAACTCTTTTGCTTGTGATTTGTTAAAACAGACCAATTAGTTGTCAAACAAATCGGCCTCCAGCTTCCTCAGAAGGATAAAAATGGTTTTGTATTTTTGATTTAAATCTTACCTCCAGAAGTACAAAAACAAAATTCTGTGCTGTCATTATTAAACAACAAAGCTAAAAAAAAAAGCTGTTGTAAAAGACTATAATATAATTCAGTTGATTCCACAGGATTTAAGAGTGCATTAACAAACCAGAGGCTGTTGATAAAACTTCTCTTACGATTATATTAATACATCAGTTTTTGCTGTTTACTGTTTTTTGCAGGTGGCAAACCATTGTAGTGACCAAGTCAGTTTAGAGTTTAATCTGATTAAATGTCCTGAAACAGAAAATGTCTGTAAACCTTGATGAACTGAAGCTATCGCTCAAAAGATAAAACAATTAAAACAGGAGTGTTTGTTTCTGATTTTCATTTTATGTAATTATTAATAGTTAAATAATACTAACCTTGTGATTGTTACTAACAATGTTGATTTAGTTAATCCACAACTGTTTGTTGCAGGTTTAATGATTTGCATTCATTGTTTTTAGTTCAGTAACCTTTAGTGCTACATATGTATTCATTTCCAAACTCACCTGGTGATGTTGCCATTATTAGCTCAGGGAAATTTCCACACTAGTTACCTGAAACCAGACAATGTTCATGTTAAGTAAAGACTGTGGTTAAACCAGTTTAAATAATGGAAACTATTACAGAGTTATAATCATGCTTCGGTAGGAAACAGATATGTTTTTTTGAATCATTTACAATCGTCAAACATGATTAAAATCAAAGCAACACTGTATCTGAGCAGCAGTGATAATACCGACAATATGTTGTCTGCTAAATGTTCGTCCTGCAATGGACAACAGAAATAATATCAAATATGTAACATATGTTGTACAACCTTTAATGGAATAAATAAACCAACAGATACAACAAAGTGGCTTAATTACTACTTAATAAGTAAGAGTCATAAGTAAATTTCCCTTTTGTATTTATACTTAGAAAGTATTTAAATTGCCTTTAACAAGGTCAATCAATCTAAAATTATCTTTGCTGCTAAAACCTGGGCTAGTTTTTAGTAACATTTTTTGTCAAAGGTTCTGAACCTTTATCTGTTTATCTGTTACTATTGTGTAGTTCTGGTTGATATCTAATCTGGTTGATATCTAATCTGGTTGATATCTAATCTGGTTGATATCTAATCTGGTTGATATCTAATCTGGTTGATATCTGAACTGATTTTAGCTGCTGTCCAGAGATCTGGATGTTTCCTATGTCATGAGCACAATAAAATATTAAAATATTATTTATTAGACTTACCAATTTTTCTTAGTCTGTCTTTGTTTCCAGATCTTCAATTGTTGCTCCGATACACAAATGTGATCTGATCTGATCTGTCCTCTTCATCTGAAACCCGTTTCAGAGAAAAGAATGGATGCGTCACACTGAGGAGTTCCTGCTTGGCATTTACCCAAATATGTTGACAAGAATGACAGCAATGGAGCCCTTAGGTGCTTGCAGCACATATCATAACTGTTATTAGCATGGCAGGGCAGCTGTACCAACCCAAAGGCGACAATCTCTGGCTGTGGATTTTACCATGAAGGTGTAAATTTAATCAACTTTACTTTGGGATTGTAACTTTTACCACAATTCATTAACCCCATAAAGCTATAATTCATAAGATTTAATTAAGAACTAAAATATATGTAGAAGCAGCAGTTTTTATGCTTCTCTAATCTGGAGCAACAAACAGTGTTAAAGTAACAGCCGAAACACTGAGTTCCTTTAAATCACGGCTAAAAACCTTCCAGTTTAGAGCTGCCTTTGATTAATAACATCAAT